ATCATACAGAATATCAATTATACTCATCAATCCCATTTTCGATGAGCTTTCATTTGATATATAATTCGTTTTGATATCATTTGTCCTTTGAGCTGTACCCCTCTTGAATAATATTATTTACCACCCTGTAGCAAGTCCAAATTCAAATCTGGTGATGACTATTTTTACTGACCGACCGACCTTATCAGTTAAGTCAGTCGGTAAAACAGTCACCACCTCAAATCTTGATTTGCAAAAAATAGATTAGAAGAGGCAGAAAGTAACGTCTGAGGAGTTTTGGACTTCTATTTCTAAGTTTCTTACTTCTACTTTCTTTGACTTCTACTTTCTAGTTCTATTAATAAAAACTATAGGTTATCAGTATAATAGTGACTAAAATACAGCTACAGACGCCATCTAGGGTGTAGACTATGTAACCATAGTTTTTATGAAATTAAAAAGAAAATTGAATTTCGGTATGACTACAGTGTATTCAGCCGTACTGAAAAATTAAGTGTGCCATGCATCACATGAAGTTTTGATTAAGGTCGCTTTCTCTTCGTCAATTGGACTGATTGAAATCCAGAAGCTATCTTCGACTATATTCGCTTCTCAAGCTTAGTTGAGAGATTAGAAGACGTATGATGAATTTTTGTTTTTTCGTTGTACCCGAAATAAAAAGAAAAGAAAAATTCTACTGGCAGTTAGTTTATCATAATATTCGATACATTTGCAAAAACTTATTTCAATAATGGAGAATAATAAAACTAAAATAGAAGAATAGCTATGAATTCTACAGATTGATCCCATCCCTTACTGTGCTGTGTGTGATCAATCTCTAGAAGTACCAGTTTTTTTTTTGCCTCCTGGACTTGTAAAAGGATATTTTTTAAGTGATACAAATCATTTTCTGTACCACTGGATTAGTTTGTTGAATTTGTTCATTATATTATTTTTCAAATAACTTGATTATTACTTGTGTTTAATTTTTAATTGTTGCTTCATGCCTGAAATATTTCTTTAAGAAGTATATGTAAATGGATTTATAATTGAGCAGATTTCACTATTCACTATGGCTCAAATAGTTGGAAAGAGTTCATTGACAAATGCTGATCGTGAAAAAGATTCTATTTTAGCAATTCGACAATTGGAAAAAAGGTAGTGTTATGTTTTGATTTCATTCAAAAATTAAATGAGAACTACTTTGTATTTAGAATTCGACAACTTAATCGAGAGATAGATACATCATTTAATTCTCGACACAATGAATACATTGATTTGTACAACGAACTTTCAACAGATAAAAATGATTACGAACGAGCATTTGAAGCAGAAAGTATATATTATGTTCATTTAGTATCAACTAATACGAAGGTAGTCATCTAATTTTTGCTTATTTTAGAGTATCGAATTCGTCAACAATTATCTCGTATATCACAAGCAATTCGTTCATTTTCAAAAGATATCAAACATATAAAGCCAGACCTGAACAGTAAATAATAAGTTTTGTAACTTGTTGCAAAATTCTTCAATTTGTTTTTATTTACATTTTTAGTTGTTAATAAGATAAGTGCCACGATCGAAGAAATTGAACAAACAATTTATACATTTAAAGAAGCAACACGAATGAAGTGACTAGATGATAATGTTTATGAAACTCTTAATTAAACATTTTAAATTATTTTAGATATGAAGAATTGATTGCTGAAGAACGTCTCTTATCAAATGAAGTTCAAGCATTAAATGACAAAATCGATTTATGGTCTTCTCAGAAATATCAACGAAGCGAATCTGCACAACCACAATCAGCACGTCGAATCGAAACATTATCGGCAAAAACTACGACGTCAAACTTATTACCAGAAATTGTTGATTTTGACGTAGGTTGTTATTATTCACTAGTATGATTTTGATTGATTTTATTATTCTTGTCTTTTTTTGTTTAGCGTTTTTTATTAGAAACGGGTGGTCTTACAGGTGGATGGGACGATTATGATCATGGAACATTTATGCGTATCAGAAACAAATATAAAGTATGCATTAGAAAAGTTATTGTAAATGCTACAAAAATGGTTCATTTTATGTATTCATTTATATTTATTTTAAAGGGTCAGCCAAAATTTATTGACGATCTTATTGGATTTTTGCCAACAAGAACACGTGATCAAATTAATGAACATGAAAAATGGTATCAAAATTATAATATCTTAGGCGCTAAACGACGAGAAGCGTTGAGACAGTGGCGAGAACAAAAAGAAGTATGAAACTAAAATAATAAAATAGTTTTGAGTAAATCATTGTAGAATTACTGAGAAAAACAAGTATAAAATAGGATTTGAGGCAAAAGTGAAATATTTTTTTGGATAATCAATGCTCACATTTGTTTAGCACGCCAAAGAAGCAATTTTGAATGATGCTGAAAAAGTTCATCATTCACAAAAAGAATATGACGAAGCAAAACAACGTCAATTGCAAGAAGAAAAAGAACGTGAGCGTGTCGAAAAATTACAAAAAGTTCATGCATGGAAATTAGAACGTGAAACAAAACAACGTCAATTAGAAGAAGAAGAACAACGAGAACTCGATAGAAAACGGTTGATTGAAGAAAAACGTCTAGCTGGAAAAGTATATTGATATCTGATCTGTATTAAATTGGCTTAGTTTATATAAATTTATATTTTGTAGGAAGAACAAAAGAAATATGTTGAAACAATCAAACGTGAACGTGACGAGTATGAACGAAATGCTCGAGAGCAAGAAGCGAAACAACAGCGATTTGAACAAGATTTGAGAAAAAAAGTAGCTACGATGGAAATAAAAAAATTTCGACAACGAGTAAGAAAACAAAATTTTCATAAGAATTCAATGGAAAGAAGTTTTTAAGTGAGATCGATCACGATACTGATGAAACCTTTTTAGCATTAATTAATTGAGTGAAACAAATCTTGGAGAATTAGCTGGAGGATGAACTCTGCTAAGTCCTCGTGTGTAGGTAGATAGCATGTTTCGAATGGCTTAAATGGCACTTCCTGTGTGTTTCTAGAATTTTTATTCAAATTATTTTGTAATATTTCGCCGCTCTTTTGAAGGACATGGAAAATTTAGAAGAAAAATTAAATCGAGAACGTTTGCAACGTGAACAAGAACAAGAAAAACAACGTCGTCTTGAATCGATTAAAGAACATGTCAATATTCATTATGATCCTCAAAATTTATATGAACCAACGAGCGCGTGGAAACAACGATTGGATACACCACGTGAAAATAATAATACATCATCTGGTAGTAAACAATATCCTCAAAGTATAATACATGTACCTCACAGAGCCGTTCCAAGTTGGCGACAATAGAAAAATATTTAATTTTTATTCTTAAATAAGAGTTATTCTCTTTCGGGTCAGATTTCGTTTTATAAATGTAATATAATTCCGTCCATATCTTATTTTAAAGTTTCTCTAATTTTATACTTTTATTGTTTTTTATATTTTATATCACTAGTAAGGCGCCGCTAATTCAAAAGAATTGCAAGTTCTTATTTTTCACTTAAAACTATATCATTCGATGCAAAATTTCACGGTGATTACGAATATCACCTTTTGAATTGATTTTGATCCAGTTTTGGGG